TTTCGTGCTGCAGGTGCGTGATTGCGGTGCCGTGCGCAGGTCGTGCTGGACTCTGACCAAAGGGCCGAACATAAAGTAAGAGGATACAGAGAAACTTGTCGATCGGTGGTGATGACGCACTGGCCCAGTGACTGTGCAGTACTGTGATGACGTTAGTAGTCGACGCGAGTTTGTGTTGTGGCAGATCTGGAAACCTGATCCCGAGCGTATGTCCATGGGGATGAGTCGTACTGTTTTGGGATGTGCCGTTCTGCTGTGGAGTGTGTTCTGTCGTCCTGACTGGGACGCATCGATCTGCTGTGCTGTGATATAACTACGCAAGGTTGTTTTTAAGGCGGATTTGGAAGTTTTGGTTTCTGTCTTCAGTGTATGTCAATGGAGATGCGTCGCTCTGCTATGGAATGCGTTGCTGTGCTGTAGGATGCGTTTTCTGTTGTGAGATGCGTCATTCAGCTGTGGGGTGCGCCGTTCTGCTGTGCTGCGTTCCGACGATACGGCATTGTGCTGTGACGCGTCTCCGGTGTTCGTCGACGGAGACGCGTCGTTTTGCTACGGGATGCGTAGATCAGCTGAGATGCGTTTTCCTATTATTCTTATCCGGATGCGCCATTCTGTTGGGCCAAGTTATGGTGACCACACTCGTTCGTGCTGTTACGCTGATCTGAATGTTTTTGTTTTTGTCTCTGGTGGACTTCGATGGAGATGCAGAAATATAGCCGCATATTGAAACTGTTTTCAATATGATGACTGAAAAACGGGTGAAACCGTCGAGAGTGCTCAGAAACCATACGGGCGTCGGTTTGGTCTCTGCAGAAATCCACATTTTACGAGGACCTTGGAGGAGATCTCTTGGTTTCGGGATGTTCTTTTTTGCAAGATTCTCGGCGTCAGTGTAACTTATCTTACTCGAGAATGGTAGATTGTCTCCATGATCGACCAATGAGAACATGAAGACGATCTAGCATTCTCACGTGAGATCACTTTGTCGACGTTGAGCATCTCACAGAGAAAAGAACGACCCAAGACAAAAAGACCTCCTCTTAAGCTCTCGTAAGAAAGTGGGGCTCTCCGTAGAGAGAAAAATTATCCTGGATAGGCTCTGAGAAGTTTAGACTGGCCTGCTCGCTTTTTCTTTGAATTGTGAAATCGCTGCAACAAATTATTCATTCGTTTCGTGTATTATATGATGGTGGTACCAAACGTGCCCTGAAAGACTTCATTGGGTCCTGACCAATCCCTAGGCGCAGCGAGCGCACCAAGGGAACTAATGCGCTGTGATATTATTGTAATAATGTGAGTTCCTACGTTTAGTGCTGCAAAGTGTTACTAAAAAGTTAACAATGATGTTAGCAACTAGTAAATCAAGAGCTCAGTTACTTACAATGCACATATTTTCAATAGGATATAACGTACTCATACTTTTATAAATACTAACAATAATGTAGATTATTGTAGGGGCGGCAGCAAAAATGACCGTCAAATGCCAGGCTGAAGCAATTTTTTCAAGTATCATCTTTTAATGCGAGTACCGCAACGCTTTCATTTCGTGTCTTTGTGTCTTTGATTCGAATGCCTAAACATGAGGACTTGATTCATATATTTGCCCAAGCGATTCGGAGTATCAGTTTTTCTAAACCTGGGTATATGACCGATCCAGTTACCAGACAAAACATGTCTGCCTTAGCGCTTGGCTCAAATACAAATCTGGCTGGGATCTAATTAGTAGTTGCCTTTGCTGTCATCGAATGGTAGCCTGCTTAGACAGTCTGGACCATCGATGTGTGTGTGTGGGGGGGGGGGATATTTGTGTAACCGGGAAGGGGTGACGTAATGCATTTGCTGACTACAAACATTTCCACAATTGAGATATCGACAAAATAAAAAAGGCCAGAGCGAAACGTTGTTTACCGCTACGCACTGAAGCCGAAAGAGCGCGTGGTATAACTTTGCTCTTCGAACTTTACTCGGAAGCCCGCAACAAATTTTGAGACGCAACTAATTTCACTTCGCAACCGAGCAAGTTGAAATGGCCTCCTCGCACGCAACGGTTTATGACTATGAGGAAAACTCTTTCACGAATCGTCAGCCTTCGATTATTTATTTTGAAAACAATTTGAATGAAATTGCACAAATCGCTCCGGAGAACATCACAATGTGTTCTGAGAGGGCTACGTCAAACATCGCTGACAAAAAAAAACAAGGAAAAGAGGGCCACGCCAACATGACCTGGGTTCTTTGCATTGCGATATTGTTTCATACTGCAAAGATGCAGTTATGACAAAGCCGCATGCTAAGACAATGTTCGGCTAACGGTCATAGTACTCTTTCAGCATTAGCGCGAGCGTGCGGGAAAAGGCTTCCCAGCACGCTCGCTGGTATTCAATAATAAGTCGGGTGGTCGAAGCTTTCGGCTTACCGAACATTTGCATCTTACCGGGATATCTTCCCACACGTCTTTCAAAATAGGTATCCAGGGTCTTTAAAGCATTTACTCCGGGGTCAGGGTCGGAGTCGGGGCGCGCGCCGTCTGCCCTGCGTTCGGCACGGGGTGAGTCAGAGCGCGCGCCGTCTGGCTCGGTTCGGCGCGGGCTGGGTCAGAGCGCGCGCCATCTGGCCCGGTTCGGCACGGGGTAGGTCGGAGCGCGTGCCGTCTGAACCGCGTTTGGCACGGGCCGGGGTCGTGGCGCGCGCCGTCTGAACCGCGTTCGGCACGGGCCGGGGTCGAGCGGCACGCCGTCTGGCAACCGCCATACCCCAGTTACCAACCGTCTGAGATAGCCGGCGTCAGGCCGTGGCAGAAATCTGAATTGCATGATGGCTGAAGGGCCTGCGGGTCAGTTCTCCATTGCTATGCCATGCAGGGTGAGCACCGCGCACCGAAAGAATATTGCCAGTCACGTGTTCCCAGGTCGCCTGCATCACGTGTTGTATAGTCTGCGCCACCTGGTGATGGCGCAGATTGGGAGGAGATTATTGACACAGCCCAGCGTAGCTTCTAAGGTCTTGACCAAGCTATTGGAGCGTGAGACAGCAGGTTTTTAATAGACTTATAAAATAGTACGGACTTTGCAATGACCGAAACTGATATCCGATGGCTTTCACAAGTCTTTAGCTCTCGCCGACGGCCCATAACAAATAAATGTATTTCGCATCGTCGTTTTTGCGTAAATTAGACTACGTTCTGCTGGAGATGGTTCTTGGACTTAGCCGCTGACAAATACAGCTAGCTGCAATGGCAAGACCTCTCATCCCAGCAGCGCAGCATAGCATTTCCAACTGAACGAAAACTGTCGCGGGAGGACTAACGTGTCACGTGTGACGTCATTATCAGCTGGCATGGGCCGTCAACGGCAGGTCACACCACCGCCCAGCGCAGTTCTGCTTCCGAGACGCCGAGTTCCATGCGTCTGCCACTATCAGTCAGCGTTCGCGGCGCCTTACAAACCAAGCTGCGACCCCAGGGTCGGCATCGCGCTTTATGGCATGGACGCTCGTAAAACGATGTCCATATTCCCAACATGGGTAGTCGTAGTGGTTATTCTCTCATACGCGTACTTCATTGACGCGTTTAGTTTTCGTATTTCCGAGTCAAAATATAATCCCGCACATTCCCGCGTTTACTCAAATTCCACTCTAGTTTCTGAGCCTCACGCCCGCGAATATGTGCTGGCCATTTTGTGCGGACTAGTTCAGGGCTGTCCAGGCATGCATGACGCCATAGCAACGTCATTAAAATCCTGCCACCCCATAGACTATGCGGCGTTCAAGGCCAAGAAGAGTATAGTCGTCGAGTCCTTCAGATTTGACATTCGTAAGCCCGATGTTCAAATAAAATGGGCGTCAATTGGCTCTCAATCAATGATGAGCAGGCTATGCACGGTGCAACCCGGAATCACGGTTTGTGCTGCATAAAATAAGAAATGGGACATGAATGCATTGCGGAAACAAGACCTGTCAGCGAACAAGTAAGGAAATGCGCTATAGCCGCGTACGTATACAAGTCAACATCTTGAACTCACGAATCAATATGTAAGAAAACCACGAGAAAGAGCCAAGACACGAGGGCATAACGATACTGGCTGCAGTACACGCTTCCAGCACCGCCATGGCCATCTATTGGTCGATTGAAGTACTACCTACATGTGAGTGCTAGGGTGACAATTTCACACGGCTGGTTTCGTAGCACCTCAACGTTATACAAACGCTCCGTGAAGTGACCAAACAATGACGTATTGAGGTACATATTTACTAAGTAGGGCAATTGCGTTGTGCAGAGCAGTCTTTTTCACGCAAAAGCATACCATTCGCTATAAGTGAGCTTATTTCGTCCTATGTCGTGCTTGCTTTGAAATCTTCATATGTCGAATATTCGCTTCGAGAATGCTTATGTGCTCATGCGTGACATTCGTAGCATTTTTTCAGACACTTCTGTCTAGTACAGGTGGCACCTCCTTATGAAATCGCTTTGTGCGGGCGTGCTGACACCGTACGCGTCTGCACCCCCTATATCTTATCACGCTCTGAACCGGAATGCGTCGAGATATCGTGTCGGCCGCACAAAGCAGACGACAGGTCAGCTGCTCGTCAGCTACCAAGCGTCTTTGTGTGCAGCAGTGCCGTCTCTCTGAATACATAGGTACATCTGCGGTGGCTACAAACTGGCCCATTTGCCTGAGGGAAAACAATGTTATCAAGCTGAATGGCGTGGCGAGCTGAGTAAATATCGGCGACAATAGCGTAGCTCGCACTGCTGTTTTCTCGCCCAGCATATTAACAAAGCCCGTTCTAACGAGACGAAACCCGCAACACTCCTGACGATTCCAACACCCCTTGCCGATTTTCTGTCCCATGCACCACCGCCGCCAGGACCTCTGGGCAGCGTGGGCCGGCCGGAGCGGCCTGTCAGGTGCCGCCGGCGGAGGGGGCGGAGGGGGCGGAGGAGGGGGCGGAGGAGGAGCGGAAGAGGAGGCGGAGGAGGAGGAGGCGGTTGGCGCTCTCACCTCTGAGTACATGCCATGCGGCGCGCGGTTGCCGCACAGTCAGCGTCTTCGGGTACGTCTCGAGGTAGCGGAAGGCGATGCCGCCCAGCACGAGGTACAGCACGAATACCACGGCCATCACCAGTGTGCGCCGCGTGCGCTTGTTGCGCCCGAAGTCGGCGCCCTTGGGCAAAGGCACGGCCATGGTTGCGACGCGGAGCCTAGCACGAGGGCGCCGCGCCGCTGTCGGCGCCACACTGGCCGCCACCGTCGCCGCCGCCCGCGCACGTCCGCCCTCTGACGGCCCGCGACGCAGCGCCGCCGCCGCGGAGCTGGCGCTGGGGCCTGGCGCTGGGGCTGGGCTGGGCACTGGCGCTGAGGAGCGTTGAAGACAGCTGAGCTGAGCTGTGGCTGTGACGGGAGCTAGAGATGAGCTGGAACTGTGACGGGAGCTAGAGATGAGCTGGGACTGAGGTGCGTAGCTAGAGATCTGCGCCATGCAGCTTTGCTGGCGGACCTGGGCGAGGGACCGCACACATGTATCGCCACCGTTTGGCCGCTCCGACGCCGCTGCCTAGCACAGCTCGCGCCGGTGATTCGGCTGGGTCTTATCTGGAGGCAGCTGCAACCTGAGCCCAAGCTGCCCGGCGGTCATGAGCCGGGCAGCTCGCAGCGATGCTCGGGGACGTCCGGAGCGATGGTCCGGCGCGGGGTATCGATTTCGGTGTCCTGCAACTTCTCGGAACTGGACGTGGGGCGGCCCTGACAGCGCAACGCAACTTGGAAATGCCCGAAGCGGTCCGGGTGCCCGTCTCCTGACCCCGACCTCCGCCTTTGGCCGCTCGTCATCCGTGCGAACGGGACACCCCGGTCTCGTCTGGTCGCTGCTCCGCTTCTGGAGGGAGCGGAGGGATGACCAGACGCAGAAAAAAGACGTTGTGCCGTGTCTCATGAACTGCCGTGACACTGAGGATGGCCAACGAACAGCTCGGAGGTAATTTTTTACGTGCCTTTCAATTAAAATCCCTGACTTGGTCTCGTAGGCAGCCTTATCCAAGCAGCAAAGCCAAAAACAGTCTGATATTGGCATACGATCGCCCACGGCAAACTGGTGACGTTACCCGGGAACTAGCTCTATAGGAAGACCGTCGTAAGATTCTTAGAAGTCCAGCTTAAGCCCGCCGCCGTTCTGATTTAATAACGCATCGCATAAGTTTCAGGCCTTCGAGGTTTCAAGCATTGCTGCGTGAAGGAGTTTTTGAAGTGCTTTAACCAAGCCACGAATATGGGATGGTTTCCAAGTCGTGTCGGTTCCTGGAGAGGGTTCTCACTTTCCACTCCGTTGTCGTTTTCCTATCCATGGCCTGTGGCCTATGAAGAGCCTGCTTTGGCCATCTGGTTGCTGGAGGCATATGACAGGACGTTGCTGGTCGCATCAAGACTACTATAACGTCCAGATGGCCTTGGTTTGCTCGGATAAGATCTGCCGCCGTCCCCGTCCCCAACGAGCCTGACCTTGCCCCGGCCAGGTGAGCTGGGACCCCGTGCGGAACGCCGCCGGTCAGACCCTGGTGGCAGGGAGCCGCAGCCACGCACCCCGAAACACGTGTCACAGCCAAGGATCCGTCGCACCGGACTGACCGGTTTGGAGCCGGCGACCGCCTAATTAATGAGGGCGTTCGCGTCCGGGGACCGGTGCGCCTTCAGTTCGCCGCTGTCAAAAATGCCGTAGACACTGAGATGCACTTTCCAAAGCCTTGCAGGAGATGGAAATCGACGGCAGCTGCAATCCGTCCACGAATGGGAGACCAAAATTACGAAAGCGCCCCAAACTGAGAGACCAAAATCGGCTGTAAGCGACACCACTTTCCACGCAGACTCTTGAATTTTGACGCATTGCGGAACGCAGCCATATAACGCCCCACCCCGTATCACCCGACAACGTGTCGAAGGCAACGTGCCAGGTTACCAGTGCCGAAGCGAGTCCATCGGCAAAGGCTTATTACACATGGTACCTGCTGCCGGGTAGGCCGGCGGCGGGGCGGGGCGGGGAGAAAGGGACTTTTTGTTTGCTCTAGTGGGGCTGTGGGCATGACCTTGCTGTCACTATGCGGGAACCCCGTAATCAAGAGGCTTGGTCGGCCCATCCGACCTGGCTATTTCCCTTTCCAGAGGCTGATGTCTTTACGACCACTGATCGTAGGATCAAGCCGTTTGGCAACACAAATTGTAATTCGTGAATCGCAAAAGGCTGCGCTGTATAACTTGCAATCGATTTTCATGCAAACCGCGTGATCGTTGTATATTCCCGTGCCTTCACATAGTCATCATGGTTTCACATCTCGTTTTCATTGACATGAAAACAGTGGAAATTTCCAGCTTGCAAAGAAGCCGGAGAGCGTGGACTGGTTGAATCAAGGTGTGCGCAACCAGGCATCGCAATGTCATGGGAGTAATTGGCTGCAGTAAATTTGTTCTTGCTCCGTCTACGTGATAACAACTGCCAAATTGCACGTACGCTATTGCTTTGCTCACTGCACGTTGCACAAGGCGTATTTTTGGTGAGAGAAATGACTGATGTCACTGGTGGTCACTGGTCCACTTATCTACAGAGGCCAGTGACCTTAGGAATTCCAGATTCGTGAGACAGCCAAACCGGGGATTTCGGTTTGGTGCCTGGACACGCCGACATTCCTGGGAACGAGCGGACGGACACTGCGGTAAAGGGAGGAACAGTCGGAACTCGTTCTCGCCCTTCCCGGGTGCCGTTCTCTGGCTTGGGTCAGGTGCTGTCAGCTCGCTTAAAAAAGATTAGCAAAAGGCCCGGCACCTGAAAAGCACTTATGACCATGGAAATGCGGGAAACAAGCTTAGGGCTATCAGGCCAAGCGTAGGCGAGTGGCAATCCTCTTATCGCGTCAGAAGAAAGGAGGAAGTTAGCCTCCGCAGTATCCGCATGGGTCACACATACGGTACTCATGGGTTTTCTTCTGCCAGTGGGGCAAGCACCAGCATGTCCTCGATGTGATCATGAGCTGTCCGTCGCTTATGTCCTCGTGCAGTGCCCACACTTTGTCGCCGAGCGCTATAGTCACTTTGGTCGTCAAAGACAACGGGATTGTCCTTGGGTTCACTTACAGACGAGGGCCCTACTAGTAACGTGAGAGCAGTTCTTGCGTTTCGTAACGACATCGACCTCACGGTCACTTACTTTTACGGCATCTTCTGACGTAACGGCATCGACCTCATGATCAGTTACTCACCTTTACGGCATCCTCTGACGTAACGACATCGGTCTCACGGTCAGTTACTCACCTTTACGGCATCTTCTGACGTAACGTCATCGGCCTCACGGTCACTCACCTTTACGGCATCTTCTGACGCAACGTCATCGACCTCACGATCAGTTACTCACCTTTACGGCATCTTCTGACGTAACGTCATCGACCTCACGGTCACTCACCTCTACGGCATCTTCTGACGTAACGACATCGACCTCATGATCAGTTACTCACCTTTACGGCATCTTCTGACGTAACGACATCGGCCTCACGGTCAGTTACTCACCTTTACGGCATCGTCTGACATAACGACATCGGCTTCACGATCAGTTACTCACCTTTACGGCATCTTCTGACGTAACGACATCGGCCTCACGGTCAATTACTCACCTTTACGGCATCTTCTGACGTAACGTCATCGGCCTCACGGTCAGTTACTCACCTTTACGGCATCTTCTCACGTAACGTCATCGGCCTCACGGTCAGTTGCTCACCTTTACGGCATCTTCTGACGTAACGACATCGGCCTCACGGTCAGTTACTCACCTTTACGGCATCTTCTGACGTAACGACATCGACCTCACGATCAGTTACTCACCTTTACAGCATCTTCTGACGTCACGCGTCCTTGGCTGAAAACACCCTAGCATACCTGTTTTGCACTCTGCGTGTTGAGACTGTTCATTTTGCAACTTGTGCTATTTAGACGCGCTTGGGAAGCCAACAACAGCAACCTTTATCTTATAGCACGGCATAGTTCTGCACAGCAATAGGTTGTGCTCAAATTGACCGCGGTCGTTGACGCGCGCTTAAGCCCAAATAACAACAACGAAATGCAAGCGGCAGACAATAGTGAACTTCACCGTAAGACAACTCTGTGGCCCCTCCCCACCCCATCCCCACCCCCACCCCCACCCCCACTCCACCCCTCTACTGGGGACGGCCTGTTCAGGTAAACAGCGGGCCCCTGAAGCCCGAAGAAGAATATTCTGATCTGATCTGAGAAAGGAGCGACGCGAGCCAGCACGCCATCACGTTTGGAAAAGAAACTCATCAAATTAGTGGAGAGACACGGGGTTCTCGTCATGAGAAGGAATTCAGTTAGCTATGCCCATGATATGTCCAGGACTTCAAACAGCGACAAGGGTACCTGCTTTTCTGAAAGGAAGTTCTAGACATTAATATACTTGTCATGCGATCCCCCCACCTAAGGAAAGGAATTTGTGAATGCCTTCAAGGAAAGGACATGCCAGCTGAGGAAGATGAGCTTTTAAGTCATAATGCGTAGTCATTGGAGACAACTGAACATCACAGTGCATTAGTATGCCACACTGCCCACTTCGCCTGGAGCTAATAATACCCACCACGCAATTTAGTGGCTACTACCTGCCATACAACAGAGCACTTGCTGCCCCAAGGTCCAGCCGTCGAATGCCTGATCAGTATTAGATTGTCCGGCTTCTCAGAGTCGGGCGCAGGTCCATGCAAGGATTGCTCTTCCTTGTCGTCCGCCACTGTTTTTCATACAAAATGAGATAACTATCACGGTATATACCAAAATGGGCCAAAACAGGACAAATGCTCCACCTTTGCCGCTCACCCAGTGTCAGTTTTTCCAAATAAAAACATTCCGCACACTAACAAAATTATAAGCCACGTGTTTTCAACCTCCAGACCAATCTCATTGGAGAAAGTTTCAGCTATGAGCAAAGTTTACCTGCGCTGCAGTAAGGACACATGAACAATAAGAGGTGGCATGTGATTAATACACACCGGGCAAGTGACTTCCGGCACAAATAAAGTACTGTTGTGTACGTGATTAGCTGCCCTCTGTCCTGCCAACGCGATCATCGTGCTGGTGGCACAGTGGTTTAGCGCGCCTGCGTTGTGACCATGTACGAGGTTCGTGTTGGGTTCGAATCTCAAGAGCGGCGGCCCTTCTGTCGTCAGGAGACATCCCATT